AGTATCTGACATGCAGAGGCATCTGCGGTCGCTCCAGCACCATCCCCGCACTGTGGGGAATTTCCAGTCAGGAGTGCGATGGGATCTACCATATTCTAAAATAAATGCACACATAGGTGTGATATGACCATGTCACCACCTCATGCACAGCATGTTAAAGCTCAACTCTGAACTTGAGTATTTCAGCCAGAGCTGCTTTTTTATTTTACCCTCTCTGCTGGGGAACTTTTTTATTCAATAAAAATTAGGCTGGAGTTGGGATTTAAACAAAACCGTTAAATGGACCCACACAAGTCTTCTATCTTTTAATTTCACTCCCACAGTCCTAAACTGGAATCTATATATTTGAAATTTATGTAAAGGAAAAACCTTTTTATGTTTTTGGATAGTGTAGGTAAGGGTTAAAACCCTAATCAAGTTATTTGTCCCTATTCTTTTCGTGTGATCAGTCAGTTTCTTCAACTGCTGACTGGTTGAAAATGTGGGAATTTTTAGGTCCTTGTCTTCAACTGTCCACCGAGCACATGCAGTTGGATACCATGGCAGGTTCAGCTGAGTAGCCAGTGAGAGCCCTCTCGGTGGGGGCACATATGACCAGTGGTTCTGGCCAGCCAGTCACTGTGTCCCCATGCAGCCAGACTTGTACACCAGCTTGTCACTACCCTGGAGGTCCCGGATGGCAATGTGGCAGAGGGCTGAAACAAGGTTGTCGGGCAGTTTTTATACACTGGAGTGTAAAAACTGCAGGGCACATCTCCAAAGCCTGCCCCCTCTCCCCTTCCCCTGAGTGGTATGTATGGAGCCTGAGACTGTGGGGGACACATGGCTGCCACTATGCATGGTGGTTAAGATTTTGCCTACTGCAGGTGCAAATGCTCTGTGGTAGGCCTGAAACACTAAATGAGGCTGTGGTTTTGCGGTCTGCTGAAACTGAAAGCCGTGGCCACTATGTTTACATTGGGCTTTTTTTTACAAAAATGTTTCTGCCTTTTTGCTGATGTCACTTCCGTCCATGCTGTAAGTCCCTGGGCACATAGAATGGGTGGTTCTTTTCCTCCGGGAGTGCTGTGTACCGGCTGCTGTGCTGCTTCTGCAAAGGACACGTAGATGCTGAGCACATTGCTTTGTCACCTGGGACAGCGTGTTTCCCTCTGGTCTCCCCCACCCCCCCCTTCCCCAGTCTGATGATGACCTTGAGTGTGTGGTGTCTCCCCCCATACCCAGTTAGTTGGCCCATGCTGGCATGACAGAGGACAGCCATTATACAGACGATGTTCACTCATAATGTACCTTGCGTTCCCGTGCGGCCCATCGCATTGAGACCGGAGGGCATGGCTACGGTGCCATTCACTTCAATGAAGTACCACGCCCCCTCCTACCCCCCAAACATAGTGAGCTGGCCGCAATGCGATGCAGTGTGTTCTGGCCAGAATCGAGTCGGAACTCACTGTATCTGGTGTGAACGAGGCCTTCAGACACTTCTGAGATTGTCAGAGGCTCTGTATGCTATAGTGCTGCAGCCACTCCTCCTTGAGGACTCCTGATGTCAGCCATGCTCCTGGTGGTAGCTGGGAAGTCTTGTACAAGCTGCATTGATAGTCTTTGCAGATCATGTGAGGCTTTTGCTGGCACTTTGACTATATCATTTATGTTTTCAAGACAGGTGTGTGTCTCTTTTATAGAAGGAGACTGCGTGCAGGCTTTGCTGGAACAGTCTGCAGGTCAATAGGCGATAATCTCCTATCTAGCCAGAGGGCTGTTTTTTGTTTTTGTTGTATACTAAATTGGACTGACACACTCTTGTGTGGGAAACTTTTTTGCTTTTTTGTGTGATGCAACAGTGATGAATAAACATGTACAGGAAGCCCTAAAATACACTTTGGTGTGGGGACTATCTCCTTGCACGCTCTACAAATGAAGTGTAAAAATAATATATAGTGTGTGTATTATCATTTTTTTTCATTTAATTTTTTTGCCAAATGTTGTTTTTATTATTGAGATCCAGGCAAACAAATCAAAACCCAGGTTAATGCACTTTTACATTGCACATCAATACGGGTCGTAACACACATCAACATGTATTGACATGCATAGATGTACCTGATGAAGTATGTTTTAATGCATTGGTGTTGCTCAAGATCCACTTGCTCACCTAAGAAAGGCACCTGTTAACCTCCTCTTGTCTGACTGTTAATATCACTACATATTAGGGTTGGTAGAGGAAACTGCAGATTCCGAGAGTAGGAAAATGTATTTTCCTCCACAAGCCTCATGCGCATACTTTTGTTCTCAGCCAAACCTATGACCAGATTTGAGTCCACATGTTTGTGCTCCTATTTTTTATTAATGCTTTTGGAAATCCTTTTTTTTTTTTACAGATAGCCGCATTAGGAATATGCTTTTTCATTGAAAATCTGAGCCATGCGAGCCAATACTTGTATTGTTTTGCTTTTCTGTATTTTCTTGGATGTTCTACTTATATGAAGGTCTTTGTAATACAGCCAGTCTTATTTTTTTTGTTGCTTTTTATACACCGAGACAGTAGAAGTGTATTTCTGTAGCCTGGAACATCAGCCACATCTGGAAAGTTTCACCAGCAGAATCGCCTCTTTCAGACGCATCAGGTTTCAGTTTGGTTTTGGCACTTTAGAGAACAGGCCTTCCAGTCTCTGTGCTGCTGGAAAATACAGAGCTTTGTGTGTGAAGTGAGCCAGTCACTACTGAATATAGTAATCCCTGACATTATCACTTGTTACTCCTAATAGGACTGAATATATTTCTTGGGCAGAACTGTGCTAAGTAATTAGCCCTCTTGCAGATCTATGCTCCTATATCAACAGGGACCCAGGCTGAATTGAGTTTTTATATTCTCCCTAACTGTGCATGGGTTTCCTTTTCCTGCTTGTTTCCTCCTACAATCCAAACGCATACTAATCACCACCATCAGAAATCATGGGCCCCCTTACTCACTGGCTCATATCATTGTAATTTTGGGAAATTACATTCACCATTTTAAGCTCATTTTTAAGCTCATCAAGTTCTGCTTTAAATTAATAGCCAAGTTATCTTGCAAATTGACAGTCTAAAACCCACCATTTACATTATTTGCTTTCTGATGCGTTCCTTTAGGTCTTGGCTGCAGCTTTTCCCCTGCATGACAGGTGATTTAAATACAGGTTGACTGGCTCCATCCTGACAGGAGTAATGTCCATCCTCTGTATGTCATGTATTACCAGATTAAACCTAGACAAGAGTAATATGCTTGCTTAAATTTGGTAGCGATATTAAATTGTTACCTGCTTTTGGAGCAAGTATTGATAGGAATATCAATACTGTGGGTAGCACAGTGATGTAGTGGTTAGTGCTTCTACCTTGCAGCAGTGGGGGGTCCCTGAGTTTGCTTGTGTGGGTTTCCTCCAGGTACACCGGTTTCCTGCCACTCTCCAAAGACATGCTGGTAGCATGTGAGATAGGGACCTTAGATTGTAAGCTCCTTGAGGGCAGGGACTGATGTAAAAGTGCTATGCAAATTGTGTGCGCTATATAATATACCTGAAATGAATAGATCTAGGAACTCAGTAAAGTGCGGCTTAATGTGTTCAAGTAATGGGGGTCACAGGAAATAAATACATTAGTCGCTGTTCTTTGAATTTTACTAGGAGAGGGTGCAGCAGATGTTTAGTATGGCATCCCTTTGGTTGCCTATACTAGGACTCTGAGCTACTTGTCAAAGATAAGGGGATAGGGAATGTTCTAAGAATAGGTTATACTCTCCTGGGAGCAGAATTTAAAGACTCTGGGAAAAGTAAAATAGATAAGGACTTGGTGATTTTGTTATGAAGCTTGGGTCTAGTATATAGAACTGTAAGGGGATTTCCATCTTTTACTGTGATTTAAAGTAAAAAAAAAAGGTGTCCAAATAACCTCTTTGTAATGCAAATGTTGGTTAAAAATCAAGCTCTTAATATATTTAGTGACTGGGTTTTTGTCAGCAGTCTTTACCTACTTAATCCCTACAGAACTATTGTATAAGAATGGGGGTTGTAGAAAGGCAAGAAGATGCGCTGTAATGATCAAGCTTCCCTTTTGAAACTGTGTGGACAGATTTAAACATTAGAGTGTGGTTTTAACTGCAGGAACTAAAAATGATCAATTTACAATATCTTAAATCTTGCAGGTGGTGCTCATAGAATTGTGTTTTCTGGCTGTCATGTGTCTACTGTTGGTAAAAAAAAAATGAAAGCAAACATCTGGTGTTAATCTTGCTTTGTGGTGTTTTTATTTTTGGCAAATATAAACTTGTCTTATTGATTTTTATGCATGATGACATTGCTTGCAGACATGTTGACAGTACCCTATATCAAAAGCCTCCTGATTAGGGTCTGCCAGTGTATCTTGCCATACTGTAGGATCTCAAGGGTTGGATAGGCACTGAACTCCTTTTTCCCTTCTGCTGTGACCTGAAAACTTTTGCAGGAGAAATGAATCTCCCGCACACACACACGCTGGGTTTTGTTTTTTACTCGCCACCTAAGTCCGCTGTCATATGTGGCCTTCGTTGGCTCCTCTTCTGGGTGATTGAAAATACTGGTCATCTAACCTCATGACATCACACCTCCTGCAATCTTCCAGAGTTTCTGTCCGTTATGTGGTCACCTGAAGAAGGACTGCTTCCACTTTGCAGTTTAGATTTTATTTTTTTTCCAGAAAAGTCCTACCACACTCCTTACTGGTATGTCCCTTGTGGAGGGTGCTGTAGTGACTGTGGATGGCGCCGCTTCAGATCCAAATAGTAAAGTATGTCACCAGCACACCATGTGTCAATCTTCAAGCAATGATCATTTTATTGATGCACTCACACCTTGTCACATTACATATTTTAAAAGAGTAGTCATTTGTCCATAAGAACAACTAAATCTCCTTGTACTGAAGAAATCTTTTTGTTGTGCATTTGACATGATTTCTGTATGTCTAATTGCTGCAATGATCTTTCTTTCTAGGCTGGCAGTGATGGGGAAAGCATTGGAAACTGCCCGTTCTCACAGAGACTTTTTATGATCTTGTGGCTCAAAGGAGTGGTGTTCAATGTCACAACTGTTGATTTAAAGAGGTAAGAAAGAAGTAAACATTTTAAAGTTAGATTCAGAAAGAATTGTGTGCTTTTCCTTTGTTGTAATTTATAATTGGCTTTTTATTAATCCTGAAAACTGATGGTGGCTGTCAGTGAGATATTTGATGGCCCAGTGCAGTGGCAAAGGTCACTTTGTGTAGGGCCTCCCTGTAGTAAAATAAGTTATTGATTTTTTTTTTTTTTCTGTGTTCCTCATAGACCTAACCAATGGGGGTTAAACATGAGTTAGCTGCTTCATTTATTTTGTTAACGTTTGACAATCAACAACTTTTAAGGACAGACAAATGTCTGTTCTGGCTGGATTAAAGAAGTGTTTCACGGCTGTCCTACCAGCATTTTATGCTGTGTGGTTATCTACCACACTCGCATGTGCATTTCTAACCTTCAGAACTGGCACTATTGGTAGAATATGAGAACAGGTTTGGAAAACAGTGGATTACTGATGAGCATAAAAAGCATAAAATAAGGATGCCTTGCATAGAGGACATGAGCAGCAGAACCTCTCCTTAACAGTATTCTTTGTGTGTGTGTGTGTGTGTGTCTATCCATCCCTAATGTACGTTAAATTCCCCACTTTCTATAAAACCTGTGTTTTTAAAGTCTGCATAACAGTTGTATATCTGTTTCTAAAGAAAATGCAAGCTAAAAATAGCTGAGCGGCAACAGCAAATCTTAAGTGTTTAACTTAAAATCCATTGGTACAGAGTGAATGAATACAGTTCATACAGATCCATAATGAATGCATCTGTTAGAGATGACTCACACATGAGCACTTGTTTTCTGTAGCTCACCACACAAGGGTTTCTGGGAAATTCGTACTGGTAAGTAAAATATTCAGATTGACATTCAGGGCCATAGAATGCTGGGACTACCAGTGGCCTTTTATTACAAAGCCATTATGTGCACACATGGTCTGCAATACAATATTCACACACATCAGTACAACAGATATACTCTCCAAAATATGTGTCTTTATTATTAAGGGGTAGGGTTTTCTACAGGGTGGCACTGTGATCATTCATCTAATATTTTTTAGACTGCACATTTCATATGGAAAATACAGGTTATTATATCTAAATAATAACCTGGGGAGAGATCACATTTTGCAGAGCATGGTCAAATGGCTAAGAGGCACCTCCTTGTGGTTACTTGGACTTTTTAAGTTAGAAAGTCATTTCAATGTACCCGAATTTACAAGGTCTTCTACACAATACTAACAAAGAATCCCTGCCAGTCCGGAGAAGTCCTGGTGTTGGTAAGCAATGATGTAGGCCTCCAGTGTGCCAGCAGTGTGGTAGAAATGAGAATCCACATGTCATTAACTAGAACATTCCTTGTTTTACAGCCCAGAATGCTTTGCAAATACATGGTCATAGAATTACCCAGTATTAAATGTTTGTTGGTAAAATAATGTACATACAGGTAATCATAAATAAATAAAAGATCAATTTATAAACTTGTACACGTATTAAAGGAAACTGATCAAAGCCATTATAGTGCCTCTTAAATTGATTCTAATGCCCTTTCAGGATTTTTTTTGTAGCTATATCCTGTCCTGAACTTTTACCTAATAATGATAGAAATCTATGCGATTTTCAGTTTTGCTTGGGTATTTCCCATACTTTGTACACATTTATCCTTTTCTGTTCTAAACAGTCTAGTTGTGAAACCGTGCTTAGAATTATTTGCATCCACAGGCCACGTAGCATGAACGCTGTGCTATAGAGATCGGGGAAAAAAAAAAATTGTTTTAGGGGGTCCAGTAACCTTAGCAGTCATCCCCCATGTGGAAAATGTCAAAACTCCTGGTACATATGTGCCCCACGACATCTTCAGCATGCTTAAAAACTTTGCTTCCTGAACCAGTAGCAGTTTCTCTTCTTTCTATGTCAGTCATGATGATGCAGGGTGTAAGTGGGCACAGGCTCAACAAGGATCCAACTAATTCCTGGTGATCTTAAAACGGCATGGGAGAAGACTACACTTTTTTTTTTCTGGGTGTCTAGCACAGGAGATCAATAGTTTTGTGTGTTCAAAATTTTGCAGCTTCAGAAACGTTGAATGATAATTGTCAAAAGCTTATATGTTGAGTTAAAGAAAACTATGCCATTAGTATTAGTGAAAGATTGTGTTTTTTTTTTTCTTTAAAGCAGAATTATGGGGAGAGTGAAATACACTCAAAATTGCCTGTAAACTAGGGCTGCAACCAACTAATCGATAATAGATTATGAGAATAGTTGTCAACTATTCTCTATCAGTTAGTTGGTCGGATCCCCTAGCTCTCTCCTCCATCCTGGAGGAGGGCACAGCAAGCAGTGGGCAGGTGCAATAGCCAGCCTGCTATTGCAATTTGAAGTGGCCAATAGCAGGCTGGCTATTGCACCCAGCCCACTACCTGCTGTATTTACATTCAGCTGCCATATGTGAAATCTTGCCACTAGCCTCTGTCATTCCCTGGCTGAAGCTATTAATGTGCTTACAATACAATTTATTATAGAGGAAAAAAAATTATAAAGAGATTTTTCAATTTTGGCCAGACAAATTCTACTGTGGGAGGTGCGTTGCAGTGCCATTCATTTCAATGGAACCCCAAACGTGTCCCCCACCCACAGTGTGACCACCCACACTGGAATGCATGGTACCCAGTGTAACACTGCATTTATGTATTTCATTTTAAATTAAGGATTGTATTTAATTTTAAATTTAATCTGAAAAAAAAGAGAACAAATGCAGCCACCACATCTAAGGACTAGTAAGCTGCAATATATTACATTTTGTTTTTGGCTTTTTCGCCTGATGGCAGCAGCAGCCATGGTCTTGGTATAACCACTTCAGGATTTGTGTATGTGTGTATGTATGTGTGTGTGTGTGTGTGTGTGTGTGTGTGTGTGTGTGTGTGTATATATATAGATATATAT